AATGATGCATTAATTTGTCAGAACATTTCCCCATTATTAAACGGTGAATGATGTGGTTGAAACCAAAGTTTCACAAAATAATAACACTTTTACCATGTATGATGCATTTTGATACTCTCTTTAATGTGTTCTTCATTTTAAAAAATATTGACCATAACCAACAAATTGACTTTAATTGATCTAATAAACTTCCTTATATTTAATAATATATCAGAAAACAGAGGTTCAGAGAATTGTAGTGACTTTCCCCAAGAAACATAGTGAGTCAGGAGTCAGGCATTTTAGGATAGCAGCAAGTTTTGTTTTGGAAGGCCCTAGGCAAAAACTGAAAAGTGTTTAGCACACTCCCAACCCCACCTACACCCCTTTTACCTTCTAAATTCAATGGCCAAGTACATTGTGATGAAAAGTCAAACAATATGTATGTGTGTGTGTGTGATTAAATGCAGCAGTTTTTAAAAATACAGATTTTTGAAGAGTAGGAATGAAAAAATACAGATTTTTTTCCTAAATGTGATCAGTGTAACTTCTCTTCTTGAATCCTTTTAGTAGCTCTTTGTGGTTTTCAGATAAGTACAAACTCTCAGTGTAGCAATAAATGCCCTTCCAGACCTGGCTCCAGGTCAGGTAGTTAGCTTCATTCTTTACTACTTCCCTGTATGACCTTTGTGGTTTTTCCTTTACTCTTGACTTGACTAAATCCTAAGTTTTTCAAGAGTCTACTTACATTCCTCTTCTAAAAAAGCCTTCCTTAGCATCTGCTTCTCACACCTCAGCCACAGCATACTTCCTCCTGTCTCCAAGTCTCTTTCCTATCTATCTCCACTGTACTATAGCATTTTGAGAAGCCAGGCTCTGTCTCCTGTTTCTGTCCCTAGTACCTAGCCCAGGGTTCAGCACATGAAGAATTTCCATATGATACAGATATGATAAACACATGTAAGAATATTTTCATATTCTTACTCTCAAACTTTAATCCCAAATTTACAATCTCATTAGAGTATCACTCTGTGAATTATGTAAGGGCTAGTTTTAACAATGCAAAACTCATGTCCTATATTTTAGGAATATGACTAAAAATAACTAAACCTACCATGGGGTAATAGATGAGAAAACCCAGTTTTGACAGTTTTTCTCTTGATTTTAGTAAGTTTTTTTGGGGGGGGGGGGCAGAGGCAGTAATTTTCTTTTTTGCACCTCCAGTTTGTAGGTTAGTACTGCTAGTACAACCTCTGCTCCTTCTTCTAATCAAAGAACTCCCTCTTCTTTCCAGAGGAAAATCTTAAAGAAAGGAAGGGCTCAGAGGGAAGGAGAGCCAATTAAAAGCTCATAATGACTAAGGACAGTGAGTAATGAAGGGAGAGCAGGCATTCAGTGGAGATTGTGGGGTCAGAGAAGACTTCATGATCAAGGGAATCGCATATACTAGGTTGGGAATTGAATAGAGAGGTGTGTGCAAAGAAGCCATTTCAGAGGGAACCAGAGTGAGCAACCATCAGAAAAGGATGTGAGTGGAGGGGTCAGGAGCCCATCCAGGGTTGGTGTGGGGAAGGGTCAGGCATACAGTAAAGTGGCAAGGAATAGGTAGTGGCATTCTCACAGGAGCAAGGCCATCATCCATCATTAACCCTAATTTCCCGCAGCATTGTTGGTTATGAAGTACATTCAGAGTTATGTATTGTTTTGATCTTCTCTGTCTTTGTCAGGTAAGTGTGATTTTGTGGGCTTTGTTTTATAGAAATAGTAAAAAAGGAAATGAAGGAAAATGGCCTCATACCCTACATCTCCAGACTTCTGCCCATTTCACAGACCCAAGAGTCCTAGTGGACCACGGAGGACACAGAGATGAGATTTCCCACTTTACAAATTAGGACACTGAGAACTCAATAGTTGAAGGAACTTTTCCAATGGCACATGAAAGTAGCTTTATTTCTTTTTGAAGGTTCTTTGCATTATATTAACTGGAAAGGAAACGGAGGAAAAAATATTCTCTTGCCAAAATGAAAAGAATTGTTACTTTGAAAAACTTGTTCTTTTTTTTATTAGGATATATTCAATTTTTATTAGGATGTATTCATTGTACAGGAGGATTCATTGTGACAATTCCAAATAGGCTCATATTATACATTGGTTAGATTACCCCCACTGGCCCTGCCCTTAAACCCCCTCCCCACCTCACTTAAAGCAACTGCAAGAGGTTTCTTAGTTCTGTTTCACGTAGGTATATGAAGTCCATCTACCATATACTGTCACTTTAATCATCTTCCTTCACCCTCCCCTCTCCTACTAGTAACCCCCCTGCACACACACACTGTACCTACTTAACAGTCCTGCCTTTAAGTTGATGTTCAAAGGGATTTCTCAATATATTCCCACTATGGGTATACTTTACTTTGGTCCATCAACCCCTTCCACTGCTCTCTCTTACCCTTTAAAAAATATTTTCTAATGTATTTCTTTTAATCACTGTTGGGTTAACAGTCTGTTAGTCTAACTACACTTTTAAAATAGGAATTTTAGCAGCAAAAAATTGAAAGTTTTTTCCAATGAAAAAAATTCTGAAAATGGAGGTGTTAAAAGAGATGGATCAGTCTGGGGAAGGAGGTTTCCGAAATCTACAGGCACTCTTCAGGAATTTTTTCTGCCATGAATGAAGTTTTAGGTTTTCACCAGTCAGAGAAAAAATATTTTCACTCTTTTAAAAACTAAACTGGCCTTAAGTTCATTCTGTTATCTTAGAATTTGTTTTAAAACTTTTTAAATTAAATTTTATTTTTTTCACCTCAGAATCTGCTATCTAAGGATAACTAGTATTTCCAGATATCATTTTATCACACACACACAATACACATCCAGAAATGACATGACTTAAAAAATGACTTGCTGAGAAATCTGTGTTTATATTAGGGAGAGTGAGGGAAAAAATCCCTGGCAGAAGTTGAAAAGATGTTAAGTGGTAAATACCAAAATGCCCAGCAAGCATATAAGCAGACTCTCATCCTAGCATGAATATGTACAGCTCAGCATTTTAAAATTTACTTTTAACTTTTTAACTTTTCTAGAAGCTTGAGTTAACCATTTCTCTACTTCTACTCTCTTTCTGAGAGTTCAGCCCTTAACTTGTAGATCTGGACTGGGGTGTTGTCATGGTCTCCATGATTCACCATTAGATGGTTGCCTCATTCTAAATATGTGATTCCTTCCTTCACTAAGCCTTCTCTGATTACCACAAGTAGTATAGTTTTCTGTTGCTGTAACACAGTACCCGAGACTATGCAATTTATAATGAAAGCAGCTTATTTTAGCTCATGTTTTGGAGGCTGGGAAGCTCAACGTCAGGTACCTACATCCTAGCAAGGACCTCATGCTACTTCAACTTATGGCAGAAAGCAGAAGGCTAAGAAGGTATGTGCAGGAGTTGAGGGGACACAGGTGCTGACCCACTTTATAGTGACCCACTCCCACCAGAACCAATCAGTCCTGAGAGAACTGCATTAATCCCTGTTGGCAACCTAACCATCTTTTAAAATTCTCACTATTTCTCACACGAGTACAGTGGGAATCACATTTCAACATGAGTTTCAGAGGGGGCAAACCATAGTCACCATTTTTTTTTAAAGTCCCTTAAATTTTCTTACTTTTCATTTATAGAGATCCCTGCCTTACAATGGTTCAGATTACAACTTTTTGACTTTATGATGGTGTGAAAGTGATACACATGCAGTAGACACTATACTTCAGATTTTGAATTTTGATCTTTTCTTGGGCTAGTGATATGCAGTCCAATACTCTCTCATGATGCTGGACTGCAGCAGCTAGCTGCAGCTCCCAGTCAGCCTTGAGATCATGAAGATAAACAATCAAACTCGACAGTACATAGTGTTGCCACGTTTTTTTGATATTGTGTTTCCTGGTTTGGTATCCCATAACATCTACAAAATGCCTGTGCCGATTTAGCACTTTATTTTAAAATAGGCTTGGTGTAAGATGAGTGTTCTGAGAATATATAATGACGCTAAGCTACGATGTTCAGTGAGTTAGGTGTATTAAATGCATTTTCAACTTACAGTACTTTTAACTTACAATGGGTTTACCAGGATGTAACTCTGCAGTAAACTGAGGAACATCTGTATTGCCCACACATCAAGAAGCAAGTCCACCATGTATAGAATTGAAAGGGCTTGTCATTAGGGCAATACAATACAAATTAATGCCACAATAAAAAAAGTGTCCAAACTAGAGATTTTCCAGGGAATGTGTACATCAGAATCATCCCAGAAAGGCTATTTCAGAAGGTGGCCCCAGCACTTGTAGCTGTAAAACATCCTCAAGTGATTCTAAAGTACATCTCTCATTAAAAGAAACAATCTAGTTTCTCTAGTTTAGCCAATTACATTTTTCTCTTAGTTTTAGTGCTTAAAAAATTAAAATGAAAAATAAAACAAGCAACCAAAACACACAATTCTTCCAGATGGGGTTCATCTTAATATCTTGCTGCCTATTAAACTTATTTGCAGACTGAATGAAAAGCAATCAATTATAAGGAAGTGAGCATTTAATGAATGTTTGTATAATGCTTTACAGTATTTTCACATGCATTAATGACCTCATGTGGTTCTCACAGCAACCCTATGAGGCAGCTTGTTACACTCATATTAAAGATGAAAACAAGTCTCAGGGATATGTAGACTTCCAAAAAATCCCTCAAATTATGAACAGTTGTGGGTTTAGCAAGTAGAAGGATAAAGCAACCATTTTTTTTACTATTGTAGGTAAAACACTTTAAATATTTAAGTATTTACTACCTCTTAAAAAAAACTTCTAATTATTATGACATACTTTGCCTGTGAAACACATTATCTGACTTAAAATATTTGAGGTTTTTTCCTTATTCTGTATCTATCTGTCATTCTGTCTGCACACACACACACACACACACACACTCACACACTCACTCATACACACTCATTCACATACACTTGTAGAATAAAATAGAAATTATCTATTGCCCCTTAGTTCAATTGTGGAAGAATAATTTAAGATACATCATGTTGATGACATTACTTCTCAAGGACATGTAAATTCTGTACTTTACTTCCAATACACCTATGTTAAAATGAATACAGAAATATACTTCTCCATCAATCTCTATATCAGAAGAAGGAATGTGAAGTGCTTGACCAAAAGAATTGGTTTATCAGGATGTAACCTCACAGTAAGTTGAGGAGCATCTGCAATGAACAGGTAAACATCAGAAAGCAAAACCACCATGCATAGAATTGGAAAGTGCCATAATGATGTCAGTAGTTATAGTAGTATTAAACTAGATTCATTTTTTGCTATTTATATTGATTTGTACCTGTGACATGTTTCTTCTAAACATTCAATATCTCAAACATCAGTTACTGCCAATACTTTCTTCTTCGGGAAAAATCCATGTTAAATCTTAGTGAAAGGAAATATTATAGTATATCGGTCCCATTAAAATCAGGGCTAGCCAGGTAAACACTTGTTCTTCATGCCACAATTTCTAAATGCAACAGAAGATCTGAGAACAATAACAAAACAAAAGTGAAGAAAATAAAATCAGGTTAATTGAACAGCACGGACTTCTTTGGAAGATATTAGAACTAAAATAATAGCATCCACTTCTGTAATTGGTTGAATCCTACTTAGAGTGAAGTAAAATGCTTGCCAAATAACTAGGTACGGCATTGTTGGAAAACTAAAGAACAAACCAGGGCTCAGACCATTAAAGATAAAAGCAAAGTTACCACTGAGCAGGGATGTATCTAACACCAGGATTGTTCTAACAGCAAAACATGAAATTCAGACTTTTCTTTTTACCTTATCAGTTGACATATCACTCATCCTGAGAGGTAGCTCTGGCATAACTCAGAGGTAGATTCAGTCCAACAACTGGCCCTACAATACTCAGCCATGATATGATGTAGTTGACATTCCTAGGAAACAAGGGAAATACAGGCAATACAAACAAATGTTTCCATCATAGTTTTTGGATGAATGGTAGATATTCAGTGAGTCACCAAAAAGAACATAAATGAGGCTTTCTTCAAAGATGTACATCAGCTTAGAATCCCAGCATTTCTGAATGAAATGGGCTTCAGGTCCAAAGAGAATGTGAGGATCCCTCGCTAAAGTAGTTGAAAGGCCAGGTACAGCAGTGCTTCTCGTCACCTTGATGACTCAAATTTGCACTTAAAATTTACAGCATTTATTAAGGTAGGTGAGTGCAGTGGTTAAAAGTACGGTTCTGAGGCAAAAATTTTTGGATTCAAATATCAGTTCTACCACTAACTAGCTGTGTGACTTTCGTGGAGCCACTTAACTTCTCTGGTTTTTATCTTCCTTCTCTGTAAACTGGGTAAAATAATCATACTTCGCTCGTAGTGATGTTATATAAATCCAATGTGTTAACATATCTAAAACTCTTAGAAAAGCACCTAGCACATAGTAAAAAAATCAATGTGTTAGCTATTGTTATTATTACAAAGAATATTTCTTTTTTAGCCTAACTTTTAGAGTCACATAAAAACATTTATACTTTTAAAATCAGAGTAGAGGCCAATGTGTCTTGAAGGTGTTTCTTACCTATTGATTTTCTGAGAATTCTTTAATACAGGAGTCATGAATTCATTTGTCTTGCAGGGATGTAATACAAAAAAGGGTTGCCCAAGTATTGGATGTTCCTGTGAGAATCAGAGTTGGTCCAGGATTGTCACTGTGAGTTACTTTGAAAAAGTTAAAATAAATAATCTAGTTTGCTCTTTTAAAATAAAGGTCTGTCTTACATTATAAGTTATTCATTAACAAACAGGTTGGTTTTCTATTTTGAAATACAAGTTATAATCCAAACATTACAAGAAGGTGGTGAGAAAGAGCTATTCATTGATAAATAGTATGCAGGTTCAGTGAGGCACACATTTTGTTTACACACTACAAACTGTAGATAAATTATATTAGTTTCCTTCCTTTGTTGGCCAGTAGTTTTCTTAGTGTTTTTCCTCAAGGATGCCCAGGAAGTCCAGTAGCTTGAATACCTACACAATGTATTTCACTGACCTCTTTCTCAATAGTTAGGGAGGCAAAGTCATTTCCATGTATTTACCTAAATTTGGTCAACACATTAATTTTTTCGGGCCTAACTACATCCAGTGCCCACGGGCACATGTAGTCTGTTTCTCTCAAGGCTATATGGCTGTTTCTATAAGCTAAAATTCCATAGGAGGAGTAACTCTACTCCTTTTATAATGAAATGATTGGATATAAGGCACAAGTCAGACTGCTGCCAGTTTAGAGATATGACCATCATTCAGCAAATAATGGGAACTCCTAAGAGGTTTCTGTGTTGTGAGTAATCTGTGCATAAGGTCTACCAACAAAAAAATATTTGGTGATGATAAATTTATTGACTGTTTACATGTGGATTAACCATTATGTTGGATACTGCAAACTCAAATGGCTATGAAATCCAGGCATGTGACCTACTGGGGGGATGCCCATTAAACACACCAGCAGTGACAGGGACTGAGAGGGCCAGGCTTGCTACTCTGCACAGGCCAACTGTGTCAAAATAGCCTAGAAAGCCAGAAGTTTATGTAAAGCCTTCTAAATATAAGTACTGGACAATTTAAAAAAAAATGCAATGAGCCTAATAAAACAGGCTTGTAGCTGGATTTGGACTAGAGGCTGCCCAGCTTCTTCTATTGGCTGAACTCAGAGGGCTAGTGGAGTGGCTCAAGTGGTAGAATACCTGCCTAGCAAGTGTGAGGACCTGAGTTCAAACCTCAGTACTTGCATGCACACACACACACACACACACACACAGTGAAGAAGCTGAACTCAGGGTGCTTGTGGGAGAATTATGTGGATGTTCCTGCTGCCTCCACCCCTCAGCCCCAAGCATTCATGTCTGCATGCATGTGCTCACATCCATTCATGAGAATTGCAAAAGACAGTTCCACTTGCAATGGTGACATTAGGCATGGAGATTTGGAGGATTTGTTGAGCAAACAGCAGACAAGCCAGAAATTCAATAGAGGTCCTAAAATTGAGAGTTGCAGAAGGGCAAGATAGGTCCTCTAGGCATCTCTGGCTGATAGAAACTATGAACGCTTGCAGGAAAGACATAAGAAGGTCTGGTGAAGTAAAAGCCAAGGCTGACTTGAACACTACTTGAATTTTGAGTGTGTCTCAAATCACACACCATCCATCAGCAAAGAGGAAGGACTTATGGGCTTGAGATAGTTAAGCACAGTCTTTGTCTAATCATTTGCTAACCAGTAGCTATACAGACATAGCTGAAGAACTTGGAAGAAGGCAGGCAAAAAAAAATTTTAATGTAAACAAAAAGCCAACCATGGGAGCATATACCTGTAGTCCCCAGCTACTTGGGAGACTAGGGAAGAGGATCATTTGACTCCACTATTTCAGGACTAGCCTGGGCAAGATAGTGAAACCCCATCCCAAAAAAACAAAATTAAGGGCTGGCAGAGTGTCTCAAATGGTAGAGCACCTGGCTAGCAAGCCTAGGACGCATAAGGCCCTGTGCCAGTACCACCAAAAAATAAAAAATAAAATAGGGGAGACATAGTCTGCAGATAAATCCTAGGAAAGCTATTAATACAGAACAATACAATAAAGCAACAATACAGAAAGACAACCCTCAAGGGAAACTATCAGAAGCCAGAATGCTGCATTGTACTATTCAAAAAATCTAGTTTTCAGAGAAATTTATGAGACATACAAAGAAACCAGACTGTGATACATATTGGGGTGTGGGGTAGAAGTCATCAATAAAAATTGACTCTGAGTGGGCCAAGATGCTGGATTTATAAATAATGCAAATCAGCTACTGTAAATACATACAAAGAATTTGAACTAAATTAACTATGTTTAGAATTAAAATAGAAAAATTATGACAATGATTCTGCAAATAAAGTAATCTCAATAAAGGGATATAAACTGCAAAAGAAAAAACCAAATAGAAGTTCTGGGGTTGAACAATATGATACTAGAAATAAAAAATTCATTAGATAGGTTAATAGTGGATATGAGATAGCAGTATAAAGAATTAGTGGATTATTAGATATATTAATAGAAAGTATTCAATCTGAAACAGAGAGAGGGAAGAAAAGGGGAGGGGTAGTGAGCTCTTTTTTGTTTTACCATCACAAACGTTGTAGTAATCTGAGATGGAGAAGAGAAAGGAATAGGCAAAATATTTAAAGATGCACTGGTTAGAGATCCAAGAATCTCAACAAGTCCTCAGCAGAAACAGAGGTCAACATCTACCACATCAAACTCAAGTGGCTAATAGCCAAAACAAGGAGAAGATATTAAAATACAAGGTGAAATCCCCCTGAACAATCAATACACTTTAAAAAAAGGTCAGGAAGGTAAAACAGGTCCTGTTAGGGGGTAGGTACCAGGAAGAGGGGGAGGGAAAAAAGAGGGTTAAGGATGGTAACTATGGTGGATATATTTTGTATTCATGTATGAAAATAGAATAATGAAACCCATTGAAATTGTTCTTAGAAGTGTGGGGGGGGGAGGATGAGGGAGAACCATGGAGGGGGTGAATCTAATTAAGATATATCCTAAGCACATATGTGTCACAATGTATCCTCCATGTACAACAATCATATGCTAATTTTAAAAGATCAGATAAAGGACTCCTCACATAAAAAAAGGAGAAGAACAACACTGGATGATTTATTGATCCAGGAGGTATAGAGTGAAATAATGCTGGGGGCAGGGGAACCCTCAATACTGTCTACCAGGAATTCTACATCCAACAAAAACCATCCTTCAAAAAACCTGAAGGTAATGTAAATATATGCCCAGGGAAATAAACTGAGAGAATTACTTGCCTCTAGATCTGCCTTATAAGATATACTAAAGGAAGTCCTTCAGGAAATAATATCAGAGAATAACTCAAATCTATAAGAAAAATGAAAAGCCTCATATATGGTGAATATAAAGCCAGGCATGGTGGCTAACACCTTCAATTCCAGCACTTGGGAGACTGAACTGGGAGGACTGCCAGTTCAAGACCAGCTTGGGCTACGTAGAGAAACCCTATCTCAAAAAACCAACCAATCAAACAAAAAACTATTTAAGAATTATTTTCTTCCTTTAATTTCTTAAATGCTATAGATTATATAAGCAAAAATTACAACACTGTAGCATTAGGTTTGTAAAATATACAGATGTAATTTATATGGCAATAATAACACAAAGGAAGAAGAAATGGAAGCACACTGAAGAAGATTGCTATATGTTATCAAAATGAAGTCAGCATAAGGTTGTACTTCTATTGTTAGAAAGTTAGTAAGGGTGTTGGCTTTGAGAGCATTTAGAGTTCAAAAGCATCTTACTGTGAAATAAATCCTTTAAGTATATTGTTAGTCATGGTCACTTTCTAACAAAATGTGTCAAAAACATGCATACTTAATTACATGGTTAAATTGTACATGTTTCAACAACCAATACTTTCTAAAATGAGTTAGCTTTTCTTGGTTGTGGCAAATTAATCCAATAATTAATTACTTTTCAAATCTAGATGAAGTATTAATTTTCTAAATACTCAAAATAAATCCTTATTTCTAAAAATAGGTTGAGCATCCTTATCCCAAATGCTTGGGACCAGAAGTGTCTCAGATTTTGGAGATTTTAGATTTGGGGATATTTCATAGATTTTTGCCAGTTGAGCATCCCTTATCCAAAAATCCAAAATCCAATATGCTCCAAAATCAGGAACTTTTGTTGGTGTTCAAAAAGTTTTGGATTTTGGAGCATTTTAGAGTTCATAGATTAGGAGTGCATAATACTACATATAGGATTACTGAACACACAGCCTTGCATTATGAATAATACAATAATGCTTATACTATACAGAAAAATACCAAGTTTCTTTGATGTGACTGTAATTCATATATTCTCTCATTCATTTAGCAACAATTGTTTTCTTGTCTGATAATTTTTAATCGATTTAAGCCTAACTCTAGGCAAAGGGTCTCTAGTTTTCAAATGTGGTGGTTAGTCTCATGGAGATCTTGATGAGGCACAGATTACAAAATTCACAGTTTGTCTAGTGACCTCAGCCAATATGATTTTTTCAGTCACATTCAATCAGCTAATCATGCAAGCCAGCAATTTATATCCAGATCAAGTAGTGTAGAGAATTTACAAATAATCTGAGGCATGTGATCAATACAGACAATTAATCTGCATAATATTCTCCAAAAGCCATTTTTCTGCAGTTGAGATTTTCATAAGGCTTATGCTATCAGGAAATATTATCTCTATTTTCTCTTTTCCCTTCAGACAGCCAGAACCAAGATGAAAGGAGTCTTTAGTTGGCTTAGGAATTATGTGCTGGAGTTAAAGAGATTATCTAAACTCCTACTCCTGATTTGTTTAGATACTTTTCTCAGAACTGAAAGAACGTCAAAACTGTTGGAACCTTTTTAGTGACATTTCTTAGATCAGTTCAAGAGGTAAATTCATGTGAAAGTGCTACCATCTGCTGTCAGTACTAATGAACTGAGCAAATCTGCACTGAGAAAAATGTCCGTGTGAAAATACATAGCCAATGAACTGTTAGGCTTACAACTCAATAAACACTTCCACTAGAACAAAGTTCTGCTAAATGGTTTCCTGTGAAAATAGAAATGATGGGTCAGAT